TCTCCCCTGCCATGCTCAGGAAAACTCTTTGACCCTAAAGATCTCCTCAGCACACCTGGGGTGGGACCACTGGGAGAGCAACCTCCAAGGGAAAGTGCTCAGGTCTATCATGGCTGTGATGGTTCATGGCCTGCCTGGATGGAGAGCAGCTCCCACATCACTTGAGAGGCAGCAAATCTTCCTAGCCTCTGGCCCATGGCCAACTCCAATTTCACCAGGGGGGAAAACACTAATGAAGCATGTGTCCACACAAGATCTTTTCAAAATGTCATTAAGAACATTGCATAAGATTAATGGCCTCAAGAATCTCAGACCTTTCCAGGAAAGGAAGTTCCCTTGGACCAATTTTTGTTCAGGCACTATCGTGATTTCTCCGTCAAGGGCTCTGCTTACTGTCACAGCTGAGGTGGGTTACTGCAAGATTGCTGCTTGGAAAAACGGTCTGGTTTTGCTGAATTCCTTCTGCAAGTCCTCTGAATACAAGGTCCAAGATTTCTAATGGTGTGTAGGCGTTGTTCTGTTTAGCATTGCAAAACTTATACAAGACTTAGCTAAATCTTATTTTCAGAAGTGACTGAGGTCCTCAGGAGCTTAAGGAGTCAGAGCAGGATTTTAAAAGCTGGTTGAGACATGATTTGGTTTCATATGAACTGACAGAAAACAAAGAAGGACCTATAAAGATGCCCTGGCAGTGGCAAAGAAAGCTTATGAACTGCCTGTCATTTTGCTTTACAACCACCAGAGTCTTCTCCTAACACATACCTTCAAGATCACTCCTAGGGCAAAGGAAGAAACAAACCAAGATTTGAATAAATGTACAAAAGGAAGGGGCAACAGATGATAAATCCTGAAGGACTAGTGCATTAGATGATGGCAATTCCTTTCTGAGCAGACATCGGATGCACTACATGGGAAGGAACTGAATGATGTATTGGGAGTCAGGAAAGCAAAAATGAAGAACTAAAATTTTAGTCTATTTTGCCAGGAAAACAGCTTATGTGATCACATTGTAAGTATACCTGCGCCTCTTTCTGCTCCCACTTACCCTTTTTAATCAAATTAAATAGAAGAAACCTTCCAAATAATTTACATGTCTACAAGTTCCACAAAAATAAATGGCCACATAGAGAAAATGTGGTTTTGAGCTGCAACACAAACTCAACTCTTTTTTAACAAGCAGAGAGCCCAAAGAGGAAAATTACTTTTTTATATAATGCTGTCACTGTAGGAAAATCTTGAGTAAGAGATAGCAAGTCCTTAAAGCACTGGCCCAGGAGCAAGATCTATTTACATTAGAGAACTGGTTAAAAATCACAGTCCTCAACTGCAAGTCCTCTCTGCTGCGCAGACAACAGCTTGCTTTTGAAGCAGGCAAAGAGCAGTTTCAAGCTACATTAGCATCAGGTATTGTTCACTTTAACAAACCATGTTATAAGCTGTAGCAGGCAGCCAGCTGCTTCCGTTCAGCCACCAAGGCAGCTAGTATTGACAAACCTATTTGTTGAAGAATGGGAGGTTCCTTGAGGCATCGGCAGGGAATCAAAGCAGAGAGGAAAGTGACTCTGAGACAGGGTAACGGAGAGTTAAGCTTGAGTTGACAGTAAAACTGAGAGCAAAAAAAGGTTAGTAATAAAAAGGCAAGAGTGGAAACATCTAAGGTTGGAAATCAGTGCAACTCATTCATGAGCATTAAAGAGGAAGTCAAGAAGCAACAGGGAAAAGAGAAGAAACAGAGAAGACCAGGGGCCAAAGTCAAGAGAGAAAAAAGCCAAACCAGCAAATTGTTTGGAAGTACAGAAAGAGGGGATGGGGGCAGAGCCAAAGGCTACTAATGATCAGCATCTCTTTCCCTATTCTTTTCTGCTCTTAGGAACCAGCTTTTCTTCTCACTCTTTCTACAGAAGCTCTTTCTCCTCCCAAGTCAGAAGGCATTTCTTACCAACAGCTTTTCACAGGTTTCGTGATGCTGCTTTGTAGGCATGAGAAAACAAGACCCAATCAGAAGAAACTCCAGATCTTATTCAGATATTAACATGGGGAACAGCTCTGGCCATGCTTCTTCCCCATCCAAAGACCCTCCTCTCCTACCCAAGGCCACCTCCTACACACACTCAAATCATAGTTTACATTTGATGCTTACAAAGTACTTGACAGCATCTCACTTCCTAATAGTTGTATACATTAAGCATTAACCCAGAATAAATGAGTTACTTTTTCAAGAAATTTGTATTTCTCTGAAGCTGGGATGCCTCTATATAGAAAGATAGATGGACAATAGGGGAAACTAGGGTATAAGAGGCTTTGACTACCTGAAGCGCCTGAAGCCCAGCTGAGGCAGAACTGAGGCTCTGACGGAAATCTTAAAGTTCTGTTTCCCAAACTGGTAAAGACCAGAGCCTCAGAAAAAACTGGAAATTACTTAGCAAATGGAAAAAAAAAAATTCTTTTAGGTATTGCATGCATATGATACGCAGTAACCATTTGCAGCTCATAGCTTGAAAGGGTGCTTTATTTTGGTTCAGTACAGATTCAGTCCAGTTCACAGAGAACACATTAGTTAATACATATCTTCACTTTGTAGGAGAAATGGGCATGAACACATGAGCACTCAGTCACCAGCCTTTTATAGCCAAATTATGCAACTTTTGCCTTACAAGCATCATGTATGGCACACAGATTTCACTAGCATCCCATATAGGAGCACTGTAACATCATTTCTAGAAACACAGGAGAGGAGCATGTAAATCTCAAGGACTGTAAAACTACATATATATACTGCTTGGGGATTTAACTTTCAAAATCCTGGTTTTGACATTAACTTGAAAGTTTGTTTTAAAAGAATGTGTCCCTGAATAATGTATGTTCTTACTTCAGGCACACGTTTGAGTTCAGGCTATGGACAGCAGTCTTCACTTTAAGCAGCCATTGAGAACTGAACTCTCTGAGCAGACAAAACTGTCTTAAAACCAGGTCTCCGTGAGCTGCAGGAGCAGCTAATAGGAAGAATCTCAGCAGAACCTGAATCTCAGCAGAACAAAGCAGTCTCCTATATTAACCATTTTATTAGAACCTGAAACAGCAACAAAGGCAAGGATGTTAGCTATATCAGTTCCTGTTAACCTACCAAACTTACCTTCCTTGTTAGACATAAGGTCTGGTAGCACTCACGAGGCTTTGGGTTTATAAATGCACAACACAGGACCCAAGACTCCAAACGCTCATCTATTTCCCCTGTACATCCAGGCTTATACCAGGTGGTCTAGCAAAAGACACTGTCTCTCTTCACAAAACCTTCATTACTTACATCAATGTTCTTTGATACACCCAGTACAAACTCCCCATCACAGACAGAGGTTATATCTTTAAGCAAAATAAAGTTGATAAATAGTTTAGGCAGCCATCTTTTATGTGAAAAAATAAAAAACCAACCCAAATCCTCTTTCTGGGGGGGATTAAAGGGTGATTTCTTTTAAACTATGTTGGCTGTAAGGGTGACAAAACCCAAATATCCTCCACAGCCTGATATGAGACCAGCAGGAAAATGGAAAATACTCAGAGTGAAGACGAGAGGACAGAAAAGGGACTATGAAAGATACTTTCAGTCTGCAGCATGTTTTGAGTAGCTTTAGATTTTCAAAGCCATTTAAAAAGTTTTGTGCACTTAATTCACTCCTGAATACTCCACTATTTTTCTGAGCTTTCCACCTAATTACTTTTCTCTCCTCTCAAAGAACAACAGAAAATGAGAAAACAGATCACAGGAGAGACAGACAATGAAAGCAGTGAGTTAGCATATACTACCAAGTACATAAAGTATTCTATAAGCTGTCAAATGTAAAAGCAACACAGCAACTTTCATTTTTTCCTCCACTTAAAGCAATCACGTTTTGAAATGTTTAAAAGAAAATGTCCAAAGTTCATGCCCAAGCTCCTCAAAGTTTTGAATACAGCATCTTAGAACTGAGAGACCAGTTTATCTTTTTAGTTGTAAACCAGAGTTTGAAATATCTTACAATATACTTTTAATCTCATTTTTCTAAAGAAACAGCATTTAAGAACTGAAAGAACAGTGTGCCTTTAAATGTTAAGGACCATATTTTAAAACCTTTATTAAAAAAAGGTTATATAGGTATGATGAATTTAAGTTGTATTTTGAAGTCAACTACTTATACACCTAAACGATTGAAAATGAAGTGCAAAATTGGAAGTCCAGTCACAGATGAGGCTGTAGTTGTGCTCAAGATAGAAGAGGTCTACCCACGGCAGGCACAGCTGTGCACTCACAAGCTAACTCAGTCTGTCTCAGCCATGAATCCTGCAGATCTGACTGACACCACTGATTAGGTCAGTTTGCTCTACTTAATATAAACTCTCCCTTTCTAATAAGAAGGATATTAACTAAAGCTTTTTGTTAAGCAATAAAACCTTTCTAATTAGCAACAAAAAATAAAAATGACATACTTGCTCTGTTTCAGGCACTTTCAAGATCATAGTTTATTTACTGTAGGTAAAAAGCTAGTATACAGATTAAGGGATCCCTTAAATTTCAACTCTACAGTTATACACCATCTAGTATTCTTGCTCTGAATGTTAACCAAAAAAGTTTCTAAACACCTGTAAGCCCCACTATAAATCTGCATTGTTATAAGGAAAAAAAAAAAAAAAAATCAATGCTTAATTTTTTCAATGCATAATATTTACACTGTGAAACCAATGGGAGATAACAAGCAGTGGCAAAGAGGCAATAAATTTTAGAAAAGCCAAAGTTTTATATATTTTTTTTTACAATAGTGTGCTAATCAGCATAATCGTATATAAAAAATGAAAATATAGCAGAGCGTCCCATTACAGAAATCTGAGCTACAGTCATTACTTACTAACTGTTTACATGCAACACCTGCTAGGACTGACTTGTTACTAAAGTGTAAAATAAGATTATGAGGTTTAAGAAACAAACATTAATTTGTGTACAAAATTAAATACTGCACTCAAGAATTGTACTGGTCATGAGCCTCTTCCATAAGCAGGGGGTGGGGGTGGGGAGTACAATGATAGAAAATGGTCTCTTTCCATACACTAATTATCAAAGGCAATGCATAGACTGAGAACACCCGGATGGCAAACTTTGTAGACACTGGAAACAAACAGTTTTCACATACATGCTCTTTACAGGAGGCCTTTCCTCCCATCGAATGGCAATGGCTGACAGCAAATAAGGGGCACCAGGTGTACAACTAAGTAGATCTTGCAAAATACTAAGATGGGGCAGTTGTTAATATACAATTTGAACTATATATACAATATAATGGAATGTATCCCATCCCAAAACTGGTTTATGAAACAACTGGACCTTTCTATACTAGCCTTATGACTCACCTATTGTTCTAATGAAAATGTAAGTATACAAAAGACTTGCATGAGAAGTAAAATTTGTGGGACATTTTACAGGAACTATAGGCAAAGCTACTTAATGGCATTTCTGCTTTTAAAGTAATTTTGTTAGATATAATTGAAACATCTGTGTATAAAATGTCCTGACAGACACTTCAACATGGAGCTTTGGTGATTTTAAAAGGCCCTTTTTAATCTGTTATGAATTGTAATGCAGAAGTATTGATGCATGCACACATCTGTGTCAGCTGAGACTAGTGATCCAACTGCATGCATGTTTCCTCCTTGAGGTGCTTCCCATGTTAAACCACTTCAATAACAATAAAATGAAAAATAGATTAAAAAAGTATTTCAGATAACTCAAACTGAATAGGAAATGGAATGCCAATATGGCAGTAAAACCTTTTTCTGTTGCTTTTAAACAGGAAGGTCTCTTGTACCAGCAGAATCCTGTATACAGATACACAGAGAAGGAGGGAATACACCACTTATAATTCCCATTAAACAAGAGCCGATTCATCATGTGAGAAGGTACAAATTACAGAAAACATGAATAGTCAATAGAAGAGAAACAACTGGTTCACATGAAAGAATAGAGAACACTTCAGTCTGAATGCAGTTATTTTGTGAAAGCTGCTACAACAGCCCACAGAACCTCATTCGTGTTGGCTTTCATACATTCAACCTCAGGGTCTAAATCCAGAAGCTGCCGCACTCTCTTTGTGGCTAAATCATACTGCTCATCCAAAAGGGGGGCAAAAGCGTTCTCCAGAACATCTGAAGCATGGGCTAAATAAACGAGTGCTAGCAAGCGCTTGTCCATGCGGTGAGGGTCATTCACCCATTTGTCAAGAACTGCTTCCTGAACCTTCTTGATGAGGCGCTGTTTGATATTGTTGTTGGTGAGAGGGTGTGTAGTCATGTCAAAAAGAAGGAAGTTCTGTTTCTCTGTTGTCAGTACACCTTTTTCCACTAGATTTTTAGCTAACCGTTCACGGACATTTCGCAGTTGGTAGTGCAACTTCAGTGGGTTCCATGTTTCACCTAAAAAAAGCAAGCAAAAAACCCAACAGTCAGGCAAAGTTTAAGTTGTACTATTACAGTGATTTCCCCACTCCCCGTGGTGCAGAATGAGCTGTCAAATTCATATAGCTGACTATTACACTAAGATACTGTGCTAATGTCAGCATTTCTCTGATCTCTGACCTACCCAGATACAGGCATAGAGACAGAGACCCTGAAAGCCTCCTTGGAGGAACTTCAGTTTATGTTTAAAGTTTGGACGAAATGCTAGCTAAGCCATGTCTTGATTAAGGATATGACAAATAAGCAGTCTTGTACTCAAGAAAAAACAACCAAACAAAACCCAAACCAGTCATGAAGAAAGAGTTTACTTTTAATAATAAAAACAAGCATCTCCTCCAATCTTGTGCATTTGTCTGCTTCCAGCCTTTTACCATTTCAGAGACTGGAAGAAGTGTCATTGCCTGCCTTTCTGCCACAGGGACAAGCTAATGCACACCTACCCTGTGCACTTCTCTTTCTTTGGGTTTTCATTCTTCTCTCTCTTCCTGCCCCCACCAGGTGAAACAATGACCATGCACTGTGTGAGCACAGGGGTGTGTGTACACATGGGCACTTGTTGGGCAGGGGCTTTAATGTTTCTATAAAGATTATTTCTGATACTTTTTGTTAGGGTAAGAGAACTGGGCCCTTCAGAGTGCGTAACTGTGTATGCATAGAGGAGGGAATTTAAAAAGCAGAAAATCAGCATCAACAGCTACTGATAAAGCTAAAATTGTTAAGCACTGAGAAACCCACCTTTGCTTAAGAGTTTACTTAACAAGCTAAAAATTTCAGGTGCAGCCTACCTAAGTATTTATCATAAGTATTAAAATCACCTCCTGACATAAAAGAGTCTATGCATTTTAAGAGGCAAGAGAACAGCATTAAGTATTTCTTATATAGATGGGGGGTTTCTATAAATGATATGAGAATTTCTATATCTATTTGTTTCTGTCTCAGAAAGCTTCTTAAAAATTCATTGGTTAACATACAATAATAATAATAAAAACCTCAGATGACTTTAAGGTTTCTCCTACTGTGATGGATAGTGACATACACTGTATCCAAGTAACAGCCAAGTTAAGTAAACAAATGAGGTGACACCAACTGCATAGTGAAAGGCAGAGAACCCACCTAGGCCTGAACTACCCGAGTCCCTGTAGGTCCCACACCTCATTGAATGTGATTCCCCAGCTTGAGCATGAATGAAACTATCACACACGCACAAGGTAGTTTTCTTACAGGGTTACACACGGCAAAGGCTATTTCCTAGATTTTTCTACATTTGTTAGGTGGATGTGGCTATACAGTAACAAAAATCAGTACTGTGGTGACACCTTGTGACCAATCTCCTCAATTACACAGACACTTGCTTGTCCAAACACAGACAGACGTGACATCTACACGAAGACCTGACATTTTGATCCGAACTTCTGTATTCCCTACACTTGCTTCCCTTAGAGGCTATCTTATAAACGACATCACCCTGGTAAACAACATCACCTTACACATCCATATAAATATTTCCATGATGGCTTTGAACTCATATGTACTGTAACTTCATGCAGCATTCTTCACATCACTGATAATTATGGATAGAGTAGCACTTTTCCAGGATTAGGCCCTAAAGCAAAATTCTAAAAGAGTTTATAAAAAAAACCCAACCCAAACAAAACACCAAAATATTTTTCTTCAAAGGGCAGTCCTCTAAACCATGGGAAATGCAAAGAACCCTAATGCCATCCAAGAACTAGTAATTAACAACCATACGTAGGTAAAAATGATTGATCCAAGTCTTAGCCACAGCACTGACGATAACTATTTTCCCAGAGCCAAAGCTCAGCAAGGTCAGGAAAACCTTAGCTTAAAGAAAACGTACAACATTGTTCATTCATTAGTTGACCTTTTTTGAATCACTACTAACTTGATGTGCTCCGCACTGGGAGAGAAGGTGAAAGGTCAGCACAAATTATGTATTTGGGACAAGAAAAAGGAATTGTTTTTGCAGGCTGTAGAAGCGAAGGAGAGCTGAGCAAGAACTGTACTGCAAGACCACGCAGCAGCCATGCCCCCTGCTGACAAGGACTGCTTTGTTCTCCTGTCTCCCCCCTCTGCCTGACAGTCAAGGAGCAAAAGGGGAGAGGCGGCAAGGGCAGGAGTATGAACTGATGTGCAAGGAAGGCAGTTTAGGGTGGTACAGGATGAATGGGAAGAACATAATGAAAACAAGAAGGCAGAGAAAGGTGGAGAGATTTCACTCATTTTTGAAACACTTACTTATCGATTGTTAAAAGTAACAGATTTAGACAGACAATGTCAAGTCTCACTACCCCCTACCTTCCAGAGTCATGTTGTTGACAAAACGGTGGGGTTTTTTTCGGCACTGTTTGTGCAGCTAAGTACAGCTCTGATCTACTCCAAGGAAGATGCATTTTATGTGTTTTGTAAAAACAGACAAACCCTGGTGATGACTTCTGGCTACTAAAAAGAACCCAACACCACCACCACCACCCCCACAAAACCCACACAAAACAGCAAAAGACTAAATGCACTACATGTTAAAAGACAGTCATTGTTAATTTCAGTTTAATTTATGCAACCTGAGAACAGAACTGGTGGCCAGGTATATGAAAAATGGTAACTGCAACTGTAAAGATGAAATCTAATTGACTTTTTTTTTTTGCAACATCTTACTAGCTTTACAGGAAGAGCTGTGTGCAAAGTAGTCATCTTGAAGACTTTGTTTTGAACAATGAGAAGTATCTGACATTTGAAAATATTACATTTCTCCAGTTAATGGAAAGAACTCCTGACTCTTTATTATTTCTTTACAATTAATGGCCAAATTATCCTCAATTTTTACAACTGAGCAGTGAGCTCCTTATCTCCTTTCTTTATCAAAAGATCTGAATACTGAATCCATACACCTATACTCCAAACTTCCACTAATCCTCATTTCCAATTACAGAGAAAGGCAGTTTTATCTCCAGGGTGCAGTCCTGATTTACTTCAGAGTCAGTGTAAGGCACCTCTTCCACAGAGTTGAGATGTCCTCTGACACTTCCATAAAGATCCTTTCTGTACCAAGTTAAGTCAAAAGCAACAGTTACTTGTATTTGATTAAAGGCTACAATCAACAAGAGACTACCCTAGAGGAAAGACTAATTAACATTTTTACATACTTTCTCCCCAAAACCCTTTCAGTATAATCTCTAGTGATGCCAGATAATTAGCTTTACTGGGGAGGGGGGGGGAAGCAAATACATTATGTCCAAGGCTTACCACTAAGCAGTTCAATCCAATTTTGTACTGTTTCAGGAGGCTGGGTCTCTTTTATGTGTTTCAGAGCTTCATCAAGCAGAACATCCCCTGTAGGAGCATCTGACTTGCAAATCACCTAGAACAGAATAAAATGCAGTCAGTATTTTGACTTAATTCACGTACCATAAACATCCACAAATAAAAACTGGAAAAACGTACCTGTTATCAAAACCCAGAATATGCAACTTTACAAAAATACCCAGTGGTTAAAAAAGAAAACAAAAAACTACTATCTAGGATTTTAATTACAGAGCTCTGTTAAGTCTTAGGTTATCTAGAACTTAAATTAACCCTGACTAAAACTATAGTATTAATAACAAGCTTAATATCTTAATTTTTTAAGGAATCCTCTTAAGCTGGTCAGGTCCTTTGCTTCCTCCCCAAAACAAAGTATACTACACTGTTAAATTACTCTCTGATGGCTATTTACTGCTTCAAGTCAATTTATTCAAAATACTGCAGTTAAACAATTAGGCCACGTGAAATTGAGAAATCAATTACAAACTGAAAAAGCAAGAAAATTGTTTTCTTCTTACATATATTCATGGATAAAAATAGGTTCAAGACAACTCTAAGTTTTATAGCTCTAAGGAACACATTGACCAGCAACACTATGTTCCATTCACTAACAGTTAAAATACACATAATAGGCAAAATATGTATGTACTAATAAACCCCTCTAATATGCAGTAATAAATGGAGTATCATTTAAGTTTGTTATTAAATAACTTCTAAAATGACTTGAGCTCTTCCCTCAAGAGAGCACGAGAGCAACAAAAAAATCATTCACAGTAACGTAATATAATTTAAGAATTTGAGTAACTGCTTGTTTACCAGTATAAGTATTTATATAAACCACGTACAAATACAATTTTTTTCTGGTTAGAAAAACAGAAGCAAGAGAAAATCAAAAACATACAGATTAAACTAGCCCAAGTCAATATGTTTGAATAAAAACAAACTAACAACAATAAAATCTATCTTTCTTTAGAAAAAGAATGACTACTACAGTTTCAAAGCTATTTATGAAAACAACTACATCTGGCAATTTAAATAGTTTTACAATTTAGCACTTTCTAAGCATCAGGTAAAAAGATAGCAGGCAATTGACAGAAAAACTAACACATCAACAGAATTCCACATATACAAGAAGCAGCAAGTGAAAGCTCTTGTTTTTTGTAAGGCTTCACAGTAGTGAGAACGGTGTCCTGGAAAAGCTTTAAGTGTCCTGTTGAAATACAAGTTTAGTTCTGCTCTGTAGTTCTAATAATCCTTTCTACAAACAACAAAGGAGTACAATACATTTTCATATTTCATCTATAGATGACAATGAAATGAGTTGCAATGGTAAGACAGCTTCAACACTGGCAAGATGATCCCAAACTGAAGATCCATACAAAGTCAATGAGATTAAATGAAAGGGAAAATTGCTGGAGAGATCTTTGTGAATACTAACAGGTCATAGCAAGAATACTATTTCCAATGTAGATGGTATATAGAAAGCACAGAAACTAAGATTTTTTTAATAAAAATCAGCAAGAATGAACCAGTCCACAATGCCACGCCAGAAAGAACAAAGTTTGGTTAGATCTAAAAAGACAGACAGACATTTTTACAAAGAAGGTATCAAAGAGCAGTTTAGGGTGCCTACTTTGGGAAAAACAAAAGCTACCAGTTTATTCTGGAAATACAGAAGACGCAGGATGTACTGTTGAAAACTTCACCAGGCAAACTCAACAGCCAGGGAGCTGCTGAACTGCATTCAGTGGAGAATTTGAAGACTAGACGTGTGCCAGGGTGGGACCAGAGAAACCTCATTACCTATTACTACATCAAGATTAAATGGTCTCTTGAGATACTGTCCAGGTCTCCATTTTGGGGAGCTGGAGATGACTCCAACCATAAACCTTGGACATTTGGTTTAAAAACACAACTACATTTTAATCCAGACAATCCGTATTTGAATCTAAACACACAACAAAGCATATTTATCTTTCTGATTTACAAACTTACACTACAGCATCACTCAAAACCTCTATTAACCGCATATAATGATACTACATATCTTCCAGTTTTATATCAAGATTCTGAAATTTTGGAAGTTTCTTTTTTGTAATTATACAGGAGCATACTTCAAGTCGGGTTTTTAAGCTGCTAGATTGCTGCTATTAATAGCCACCTTTCAGCTATTCCTCTAATCATTAGCCTAAAACCGCTCAACTTATTTATCTTTACTTTTTTTAATATTGACATTCCAGCAGTATTTTAGTTTCTTTGAAGTGTACCATATGATTAGTTTCACAGTAACCTTAGTTACACTGGATCACTCCAGCCTACTGCAGTTGGTAACCTACTACTCACCATCTCACTTTGACCAGTAAGATGTGAAGTCATCTTTTTGACCAATTTTATTATTAAAAAAACAAACCAAAACAAACAAAACAAACTTCACTGAAGAGATGAAAAATGCTTTTAAGTCTAGGATACATGTAAGGGTTTTTTTTAAAGTTCAGAAAACAGCTTTCCTTGCTTATTTGGGGTTAAATACTTTTTTCTACCACTGCAAAGAAGTTTAAGAAGCTAGCCTGAATATAATGCACCATGACAGTACGAGCCTAAACATACAAGCACTTAGAGGAAATAGCTGTAAGGAGCATAGACTCCCCCATTCAACTCAGTCAGGACTCCATAAACTCGTGTGAAGCCACAATGCACAGCAATTTTGTTTTCAAATTTACTGCTCTTTGCAGCCAGGCATACAGCACTGTTTCTTCTTGCTTCTCTGCTACGCTGAATATTCACTACATTGATTCTTCTGATTATCCTTCCCCTCAAAAGTATTTTGGTTCTCACTTCCATGGTGTTTCTCTTCCCCTCCCCTTCCCAGCACATGGAAACAGGCAACAGCACAAGCCCAGCCACCTCTCTCCTATCTTCGTGGATCTGTTCTTTCTTGGATTTATTGATGAATGCTTCTTGGCTAATCTTCAGAGTCATAACAGCACAAGAAGAGTGGGAAATGGAGTGGACTGGGGATCTGATGAGTTGAATTGCCACAGAAGATTAAGCATCCACAAGGGGGAAATTGTTTTCTCTCTTTAACAGAGGAGCTAAGGTAGAGAAAGCAGCTAAGGTTATGGATCTTCAGAGATGATGGTCTTTAGCCTTATTGCAAAAAAAAAATTCTTTCTTTATTCCAATTTTTCAGTGATTTATCAGGTACTAGATTTGCCTTGTATCCAAGTGCTGAGGAAATTTAAATTATACAGAATATTTAATTTGTATTTTCCACAATGCAGCTTTGCAATTAAGTAATGCTAAAGATTAAGCACTTCTTGTGTTGATTTTTTAAGTAAAATCCATTATTAGTTTTAATACAAAAATTCACTCATGCAAGAATCACTCAGCATTGTCAGCTATAAAATACTGAAATAAATCTACCAAGAATTTGTTGGGGTTTCTTTTGTTTTTAAGAACACTAATGATTTGGTTTGCTTTCTGAGACTGTAAGGCAGCATAGAGTATCATTTTCTACCTTCAATAATCACTAGTCTTAGAAATTTATTTATATGTAACCCTCAACATTCACTTATTTTTTCTCAAATTGATACCAGTAGGTAGAACTCCAAAATGACGCAATGATTACGTACTTAAGCCAAATTTATGATGATGTTGCAGCATAAAATATGTCATATTGATTTTCAAAGTTTCATTAACATCCATCAAGTCCTTGTCTGCCAGTTACTTGGTCTCATTTGTCTCTCTATGGCATTCGAGCATGGATTTAATGCATCTTGATCCATTATGAAGTTCTGTCTCAGAAACTGCAAAAAATTATCAGCAAATATCTACCTGATTTAAGGCTTGAAGTAGCCTTGCAATGTAGCTAGCTATGTTTTAAGTCAGCTGTATGACCACAGCCACAGTTAGCTGGTTATAAATCTGTACTACTGCCCAAAGAACTAGTTCTACCCTCTTCTTGTCCTCACCTTATTGCTTGTGCCAGCAGTCTCACTTGTGCCCCACCCGATAAGATCAAGAATGTGATTCAAGTAAAAACTAAACTGATCAAAGCAGCGAATTAGTTTTCAGCCAGAGGGGTGACCTGACAAGGCTGCACAAATGCTAGTAACAACCCAAGATAAGCCTCTTCATAAAGACAGGACTAGCCTTCTCAGCTGCTACACAGGCTAAAGTGACTGAAGCCTAAGCTCCTCCCTTCAAACCATGGCTTGAAGATACAGGGCTTTGATTCACAAATCAAAACTTTTGAGTTCTAAGGAGATTTTACCTTCCCACAAAATCTGAGGATGGACCTGGGGCAAGTAGGAAGACGGGTTAGCCTGAGAGGCAGAAGCTATAGAAAATGGTATTGCCACTGAATCACAACCTTGGATGCAACTCGACAGCTCATTCCACTCACTAAGCGCCGTATTTAATTCACAGGGAAAGCTGAGGTCAAGGGAAGCAAAGCCTGCAAAAGGGGGACAAGGAGAACACTTGGTAGAGTTGAGACACTTAAATCTGGCCAACACAGAAACAAGACTGAAATTTGGTGTTAATGCAAAACTTCAAATAAGGTACAAAACAACACAAGTCATTCATGAGAATGATTTCTAAATTGAGAGAGGTGGTGCAGGGGGAGAAGAAACCTCATGTATATCGGCAATTAGGGATTTTATTTGCAAGAAAATACTTAAGCAGAAACCAATCTTCAGCCGAATTTTAAATTAAAAAACTTTTTCATAGAACCTTCCTGCCCACAAAAAGAAATCTCAATTGCCTTACAACAGCAGAAAGAAAAAATCTTTAACCTTGGGTAGCTCTTAGATGTCCTTAAACAAAAGGGGGTGGGAGTCAGGGAGGAGGAACAACCACACCTACTCACCCTCAAAACCAGATGATAAAATTAAAAACCAAACAAACACACCACAAAACAAACCACCACAAAAGACGACAATAATTTTGCTTGTATTCTTTACTGAAGATATGCACAAGTTATTTTTCCATTTTCCTAAAAAAAGAAACATAGTTTAAATTTCAGGTAGAGAGAACTGACAACTTTTGCATAGAATGAAAATAACTGCTAAAGAACATTCCTGAATGCCTAAGGAGCCAAAAGCTTTGGAGGAAAAAAAAAAAAAATCGTGCAAACTAATCAATGCTGAATATGCTTAAATAAAGCTAAAAGAAGCAGGAGCTGTTTGTCTGAACAGAGGTTTGATTCTTCAGAAGAGGAAGAAGCTGGGAGAAGGCTGGGGAATTTGTAAGCTTTCCTTTAAAAAATTTAGCAAAGGATAATATTGACATGGAAACGTGCCATAAAAGAGAATGTTTTCTATCCACCACAGATAAATTTGACCATTTTCAATAAGCTTATTTTACAAGTATCCTCTAATGCTGATGAAGTAAAAATTCTTCAAACAGTGTGACTTTACACATGTTGTACAAAGGAAAAATCCAGCGGCAAGAGTAATAAATTAAGGCCTCAAATCTTCAGTCTAATTCAATAAAGGACCTTAAAAACTTGCCCCTCTTAAAGGTCAGTTGAGTACAACTAATTTAACACACCTTAAACTCAGCACAGTTTTGTGTTCTCAGGGGCCCACAGTACAAGGATCATTTCCTCTCCATGCATTGCAGGCACAAACTGCAACATGTGTACACCAGAATTAAACTGGTGGCTTGCAGGATACATCTGGCAGGCTGTCAGTTAGCCATTCCTTTCAGTCTGAACCCACATCTCACCAACATTGCAAAAGCCAGTTCCTTCAGCAGATTACAACTGGTGCTGCTGACCCTCTGCAGTAACTGCTGCCGCCCCACCCGGGGCCACAGCCACTGCCAACTGTTTGTGCAAGGTTCCCAACAGCAGCCGGAACACATCAAGAGAACAAACAGGAGCAGAGAACAAGTACAGAAGATTCTTCCAAGGCACTTCAGCTCACCATTTAAACACTTTTAACTCTGTGCATATAACTTGGGTTACTACTCAGAATCCCTATCCCCATGTAAAGAAAGAAGTAGTCTTTTTTTCTTACAACGAGTTGTAAATTACAGCTACTGTATTGCCTGGAGCATGACACAAAAGTAAATGTGATCATTTTCCTCCACTTACCTTTCTTGTTAATAGGCTTTTGCGCCTCATTCCACAAGCCTCTAGCTGAAGACGCCCCCGCAATGCCAATTCAATTAACATACAGCCACGCAATCCTGAGGAGATGCAATCATTCCAGAATGATGTGTAACCCTGTGAAGAATGAAAGACAGTAAGATATCTCCATCTCCACCTGAAAGCCAATAGAAAGAGAGGCTTACTCTTTCTCTAAGCAGTCCTCCTGCCTTCATACACTTTTGAAGTAGCACCACTAGTCAACTACCATTCCTGCAATGGAAACATGAAACAGACTCATCCCCTATTAGTTTTGACACAGCCTCTGCTCTTCGAAGAACAGGGAAACCTCAGGACAGTGATGAAAAATGAAACAGTGAGATATCAAGCATAGTTTACACATAGAGATATAAAGTGTAATTTATACGTAGTCAAAATAAACTTACTACATTTTTAAGACATCAAGTGTTTGGCATTATGGACATCACACAGGCTTCTCTGAGCTTCCTGAGAATTATTAACATGATTTTACATCTATAAACAATATGGCTCTGATAAAGTACTAGTACTTATAAATCAATATTAAGTAAAACATGGAGTGTACTGGAAACATAAATGTGGCAATCAGCACAACCCACGGAACAGTTTTTTTTTATCTTGAATATAGCGAACCAAAAGACAAAAGTTTTCAAGCAAATATTTGGAACAGCTATTTTGTCATTTAAATCCTTTGAAAACATGTATTTTTAAAACTTGATGCAAATTGTTCTTATATGGACTGCAAAACTGCAAACCACACTTACTCTCTGAACCACACCACATCTACCACGCTTCTTCAGCTGTATTTCTCCATTGACAGCTGTTTTCTTAAATAGCAGAACAGAGCATTTGACCCAATACATTCACTCAATATCTAGAAATACCTGTACTGACTTTTGTACTCCACTGCTCAACAATTATGACCAAAAAAAGTCTTACAAAAAGGATTTTATTTTACCTACAGAGTAGCCCACACAGTTTTTGCGTGGTTTTTAAGTATCTAAGACAAAACAAACCATTCTGAGAAATACTTTGTCTTTTGAGAAATGACTGCAGAAACACTTGGTATGATCCAGAAAGACCTTCCAAAACTCCTCTACTGATTCATCTCCGAAAATACCTACTTTGGGATACTTTTCTTTAAAGTGCTGCAAACAAGAGAAAGAGGAAGAAGAAGCACTCCTTTTCCTAAAATTTATCTTAACCAATAACAAAGACTAGCTTAAATCAAGACCAATTCAATTTTGTTCTATTTGCAGCTAAAAGTTACCAATGTATAGAGAGATACAAGACGCACATATCTAAGTCCACTAAACTTACAGAATAGTCCCCAACTAATGCATGCCATTAAATATAGATTTCCAGGAATATGATATTTGTTTCCATTTAGCACTCAGCTATTTTCAAGAGCTGTATTATATAGATGACCCATACTTCTGAAAAGTGTACAAAAGCTCTGAATCCCTAGAAAATAATTACTGAAATATGTCACAGGTATTTATGTGAGAGTCCATATATATATAAGGTTGGAAAAGCATTTGAGAAGTTAACTTATCAGCCTTCTACTCAGAGCTGATACTTTGTGAGTATCAGCTACTCTCATAAGTCAGCCATTCTGTAAACTTAAGATTTTGGCTGGCAACCAGACCAGACATTTCTTTGCCAAAACATGCAAGACAAGGTGCAGTATTTGCTTGATTTAAATAAAAAAAAAAAGGGAAAAAAGGAGACGAGTCCTACATTCTACTATTTCCAATCAAATAGTCTCTTTACACAATGATTTTTTAAATCAGGCAACACATATGCAAACTAAAAACCTATTGCACGAACTTACTACAGTGGCACAACAAATATACTCCTCTTCCTATTCACAAAAAGTCTTATATTATTATGCAAAAAATTAAAGTGCTAAATTTTTTCCCTTTGTTTGGTATTGAAAACTGAATTTATTTTTAAAGTGGACATTTTTCAATGAAGTGACGTTAACTACACCACTCCAGGCAGCAATTACCAGATGTAAACTCCTCTGCTCCAGCAGTCATTCAACACACATGGCCACAGGCTGCAAAGAAACAGAGGATCATAGGATAATTCAGGTTGGAAGAGACCACAGGAGATCTCTAGTCCAACCTCCTCCTGAAAGCAGGTTCAGCTATGAAGTCAGGTCAAGTTGCTCATGGTTCTATATTCAGGCAACTCTCGAAAACCCCCAAGGATGAAGACTGCATAACCATCCAACAGTTTTTAATCAAGTGATCCCAAAAGGCAGCTCAAAAAGATTACATTCTTAATAAATGGAACTGCTTGCTCTAGTGGGTTAGATGACATTAAAGTCATGAGAATGTATACTCTGTCGCCACCTTTTTTTTCTTCCTTTTCTCTATTTTTTTTTTCACGCTCAGTTTGCAGGTGGTCCACTAGAGAAGGAACATATTTCAATACAGAGACTATACTGCTATTAATGCAGTGAGGATTGAGATATTTTATAACAGTTGGTGTCATTCTGAACATTTCTCAATCCATTAAACTGATCTTTCTAGATAGTTCAGGCAGATGGACTGATCGGTTTTGGCACTTACTGCAAAGACCTCAGACAACTGAAGGAATCTTCACAGAAGGTCAGTATAGCACACAACAGTCTAACTAAATCATTCTTTAAATTAACTCAAACTTCCTGATGTAACTGAAAATGAGTAGAAGCAGACATTTATCTTCGACACTGCAAACAGCTTCTTGACACCTACTTTAAATGGCAGACAGCATAACTAGAAAAAGGTGCACAAAAAAACCCCAATAATGCTCAGCATTATGGAACTACTACCTATTAAAGAGGTTACAGATGGACAGTGAAAAAAGAAGAGTGAAAGGGGTAGAGAAAATAGTAACAATATATGGGAAGGGAGAACAGCAATATAAAATAAGGTACTATTTGCACAAGAAACAATTATTTTTTCTTTTTCCACAGACAAGGACTAAAAGGTGGTAAATTAAGCTAGCTCACAGGTAGAAAAGTCAAAGGCCAACTTCTTTTCTACATTTCTATTGAACTGTTTTTACAGGAAGGCAAAAGTAAAAAAAAATCCTTTAAAGAATTAGTTAAATTCATAGGAGATTGATACTGAAGTTTGACAGACTAGGCAATAGATCTGTAAACCACGCATGGCCTGGAAAGCTCCCACCCAGTTGAAGTCAATGCACATTGGAGGAGGAGTCTTTACACTGGGCACACCCATTCCTTGAACACAGCCTGGCCATTGCTCCTTACAGGTTATAGCATGAGATAGGGATTTGGTTTGACCTTTTAACACTATTCTTACTGTTATTCCAAATACCTAACAGTCTCAAAACACTTAGATTGAAGATCAAAGACCACTATTTATAGATGCGAGTCATTCCACTATTTAATGCTCTTAAACAGCACTAGTTTTCTCATGAATACACCACCAAATATTTTTACTTTATCCATCTTCCTACAAGTCTTTTATCATTTTATAAACATCCTAACTCCGTGAAGTACTTATTTCAGTAAAGTTGCTAAGCAGCAGGGGGGGAAGTCTTACAAGGCAGGAAATTATTTTTATCTGACAGCAATCACACTAGAATAGCACATTAAGCTATGAATAGCTTGCAAGACAAAATTTTATATCTACATTGATTCAAAGATCAAAAGAATGTTTACAACTGTCATGTTTATTTACACAAACACAGCACAAAAGCTTTTTTCATCAGAGCTGACCTAGAAATTTTCAGGTAAAAACTAGTTTTGCTAAACAAGCATAAAGGGAAACAAGAATAAAGTATGTAACAGAAACTTGTTACTATATTAACTTTGAAAGCTCAGACTTTCCACACAGGTTTGGCAAAGCACAGTGCTAAGTCTAGTATCATCTTTCTGTTTAAAGAGTAGGTTATCCAAAATCCATGGTCATTAGGCCATTTCTCTCCCACCACCTCCTCCAGCGCTTGCTGTCTCCTCTTCCCATGCCCCTTGCCCAATTTCCAGCTCACACAGGTCTTTCTGTTCAGTTAGCCATTAATCACTTGAAACTAACACTTATTAAATATTCCACCCCCTAACAATGGCGCTGTGCCTCAGTGTTACCCAACTTACCTTATCTTCCACTCCCTGCTTTTACCTCACCTCTTTAGCTCCTCTTCCCCATTATCCGAGACACCCTCTCTCCTACAGCAGCCCTCTTCCCCACCTCATCTTACTGTGACACGTAATACATTAACTTACCACTTGCAGGTTTATAAAGATCTAAATTTCTGTGACCTTCAAATTTCCTTAGATCTGTTCACACAGATGGTGCAGACAAGATAGGAAAGCATTTATACTCTATTTGGTGAGCAGCCATCTTATTATTGTCTCTGCTCCAAGAGATGGACAAAGCCACATGATACATTAGCAGACATACAAACAAGTAATCCTTACCGATACTCTGTGTCTAGCTCTGCTAAGCAAAGCACAAGCTCTCACAGCTTCTTCCTACTTACTGTAGGAATACCCCAGCTCAGATCTGCATACAACACGGTGTAAACATATACTAGGACCCAGTCTCCTACAGCTGCTGGCAAGCAGAGTGCAACAGAAGGCAGGGTTCATGCACATAGGAAGGAAGGGAGAGGGAAGAGACCCTGAGTGGAAACATCCTACTCATGTCCCTTAAAACTTTAACTTACATTATTCCCCAACAACGTGCCTTCCCAGTTTGCCTCCAAAATCCCTCACTCTCAAACTTCACAAAGCTGTACTTAAAATCGAATAGGGTCCTACGACTTGCAAAAAGTCTTTATCAGGGTTCCTGGGAATTATGAGAACTCCTGCATAGACAAAGAAATAAAGTCATTCCACAGCTCAAAAATTATCACCCCGGCTATGAAAAACCTAATGGGATCATCTGTTTATGCTATAATAAAGCCATAGCTAGAGAGAGAAAACACGTACACATTAGCGCAGACAACACCATAGCATTCTGAATTTGGTGGCTATTCAAATATTTTGATGAAGCACTCAGTACTTATGTATAAGAGCTGTTGCAGAACTATTAAACTACACACTTCTACAGAACACACTGATTTCCAATTTTTCAAGACAC